AAAGCGGCCGGTGTGACCGCGCAAAGATCAAGAATCGCGCAGATGTTACCAATTTGAATAGAATATCTAAGCATAGATATAATGATTGGTTAGGAATTTGAGCAACTTTGTTATGTTTTTACATTGTTGTGTTATAAACTACGTATTTAGTGTTGTGTATTGTAGTATTATTATTCATAATCAGAAACGAACGAATAAAAATATATAAATTTGAGTAACATCTTACTGTTATTGTAATTGCATTAAGTTTAAATAAAAATTTGTTTAATGTACTTTAAATTTATAGTATTTGTGTAAGTAGTAAAATCAGTCTGTATATAACGTATATTCGAAAAAATTGTAGTTCCTTAATGTTTGTTTAAAATTTTGGAAGAGTAAATCATAAAAAAATTAAGATGTTTTTTCCTTTTAATATGTTATTTTATGTAGTATGGGTTATAAATAATAAAGAATAAATAATTATTAATAATCTGTGATAATGTTAAATTCTTTTATTATTCTATGTCGTGAGCATGTTATCAATGAAGATGAGATGAAGTTATCGTTGTTTTCGATCGAAGCACATCGTCGAGGGAAAGTGGACGGTTCGACCTCCGCACGACGACATAGCCTACCTTATGGTCTTTTTTAGATAAATACAATATCGTATTTGTAAGTGAAATATGTACGTTTATCATTCAATTAGGAACGTGACCTCTTTGTAGATGAACAATCCACATCCAATATTGAGGCCTTGTAATAATGATGTTATTTGCATTTAATTTATATATTGATAAATGTTATTTGTATTTAATACTGTGTTTTTTTCTGCTTTTGCCGTTTCACTTGTTTAATAGTTAAGTAAGTATTGGATTTTTGTGTAAATTTACAGAATGTCGCTCTAACTTCTAAATGTAGAAAGTGAAAAGTGTAATATAATATTTATCCGTCTGTAATTAGTTTACCTTAAGAGTCCTTCACACCACTTTGAAGCATTATTGGCACCGTTATAAGTTTCAATATGTAGTTAGTGAGAAATATTGATAGTAAGATCAATGGTACAATTTGGCGAAGCATATGTTACTCTCTCTTTTAATTCTGAAAAGAGAGAAAAACATAGAACTTGTAGTATCAAGTCATATTTTACGCAACCGTCACACGTTGCCTATTATGGGTTATGCACGAGAGGTCTTATCAACAACTTGCCTAAAAACATTCGATCGATCGAATGAAACCATTTCAAAAATATGTTTGCCCATTTTCTAGAGGGGGTAACGGGATTTCACACATTTAATGTTTGCGTATACATTTGTACCTACATAGTTTTATGTAATTGAAATAAAATGAATCTTTACTTTAAAATTGCTAACAAAAACTCATTGAAAATGATTTTTAATAAATTTAACTAATATATCGCGTTTTAAACCGTTAAAGTGTTTTATTTAAATGTGTACTACTCGCGTAAACTATAGACAGTATTTAACCAAAACTATATTTTGTCGTAAGTATTTACGATATCGTAAAGTAGGCTTGAAGCCTATTAACGTATTAAGTAATTTTCAACGTATGATGCAATTTTGCGTTTCTCTTAAAATAGCCAATTAACATTATTTAATTCATGCCTTCCGAAATATCAAGTCATGATTGCCGTAGCGTGAAATCCTGTTTCCCCCTGTGGGACTTGGGGCGAACATATTAATATGTTAGTTACATCGTTCTGTACACAAAATCTGTTATAGACTTAGAACTTCTCTAACGATACAATGTACACATTGATACAATGTATTATTGTTTCCCCAGTTTTTGAACCTAGACCAAGACGCAAGCCTAGGCAATATCTCTAGCCATTAAGGGATATTAACATATAACTGCAATAATAATAGATTAAAGAAGGCGTAACAATAACGAGATGCCAAATTCCAGGTGTATGTCAATTGAATCACTATGCTCATTTATAATTTGACTACATTTAGCTAAGAGTTGGTATGAAATAAGAGACTTAATATTACGTATTCTACTCTACAATGAAACAGATGTAATTGTGAAATTCGCGAATTTCCGATTTCTAGCTGACACTTGTCGTTTGTTCCGTGTGGCAAAATGTATTCACTCCACGCTCTGAACGACCTTGACAATAGAATACTAAGTAACGAACAACCGCGAATGCATCCTGTATGGATCTTTAATACGCGTTTCTACAAGTCCAGAGAAAACGAGCTTTTCACCACATTCATCTTTGTGACTTTTACGATGTGTTTAGAAGACCGGTTGAATTTGCAATTGTATTGAGAAATAACTTTTAATTTTTATGATAATTAAATGCGGTCTGTACTTTATGCGAGTAGTACACATTTAAATAAGACAATTTAACGGTTTAAAATGCGACAAATATTAGTTTCGGATGCAGCACCCATGACCACGGCTGCAAATAAGGGTCCTTAGTTAAAAAAGTTTCTAAATAAGGTTAATATTAACCGTCTAAGCTGTTTTACTTCAATTTTAAGACAATTTTTAAATAAAATGTCCTTTTCCAACTAATGCTAAAAGATGTATAATAAATGTTTGTTTGTACCAAACGGTACAATATGGTAGTCAACATAATATTCCTCAAATGATATTTAATAATTATTGCGTCAGTCCTATCCAGTGCTCTATTAAATGCGCCCACGCAAGCCACTTAAAAAGGCTCTGTAGAGTAAACGAGATTACAACAACTTTTGAGGCTCGAGACAAATAACCAAATTTCTTTATCAGTATTCTGTAGCTTTATTTATTCTGTCTAAAAGATATTTCCTAAATTACAAATAAGCATAATCAATAGATTTTTTATTCAAGGACTGTTTTAATGACCTTCGCTGCACTAGAGGATGTTTCGTAAATAAACATATTACATGAAAGTTATATCTTTGAAGACGTAAACACGTTCTTCATCCTGTGTGATGTCTTCATCTAAGCAACAAATATTACTAAGATTTGCCATTCCAAAATAATTGCCTCTTGCGTAAAAAGTATAAGATATAGATTATAAATTCTTAACGCAACATGTTTAATCTTGAATCTACCTGTGTAAAGAGAAATAATAAAATAGAGCTTTTGATATCCAACAATTCTTAGCAGTGCATCTAGATTTATTGTCGACGGTCTATTAGCCAGTGCGGTTGTAAGCCAATTTAATTAGCCGATCACACGGAAAGATGGTGTAGTACCTAACTACGAAATCATTTTAGGCAACGTTCATAAGAACCCTGAAAATTACGAAGAAATATATTTTATCATATGAAGGTAGTTATGTATTTCAAAGTGTAGGTATTTCGAATAAGTGGAAGTGACAACAATATTTTCATTCTCAAGCCAGGATTTAACTTCAGACGTTACGAACGGTTGCTCATAGGACTAGAGCAAAACGGCTCTGAATTTTTACCTAACGCTATATTATTGACCGCCTTTGTAGCCAAATGGTTAAACGTATTGCCTGGCATTGCGTTAAGCACGAGAAGTTCTAAGTTCGAAGCCCGGGGAAACAAACAATTATTTAGGTCAGGCAGGGCACAGAATTCTGATCAACTACTTGCCTGTTAAAGAACGGATCAGTGAAACGGACACAGAAATGTGTTCGCCTCATGCCCACAAGGGGGAAACGGGATTTCACACACTATATTATTGAAAGAATTGTCTTGTATTTTTTCAGTAGTAGAGGCGTTCTACAGTTAGAACTTAATCTTAAATATTATTTCTTAGGTGTGTATGTCGGTAGATACGTACATAACTTTACATACAATTAACATTTACATACAGTCCTTGTATTTATTATTAATTTCCTTGTATCAGTAGTTAAAACTGTCTTGTTGTAAATGAACGGAAAATCATATTAACATAATAATATCATTGTTTTTTTAAGATATTATTATGAACAAGCCCCTTTGCAGACAAAATACTAATACCTGTAAATAGCGACTGTGCGGAAGCTTTAACTGTTACTAGTGTATCTTATAACAACACTTCGATAGAAAATTAATTATATTTGCGCCTTAGGGCTTGCAATTCATTAAATAAGGGTGAAGATAAATTATAAGCGATATTTAAAATCAACGTCACACCGTTCTAAACATATTGTTCTATGTTAATGTAGATATAATAAAACGGAATGTCAGATAAATATAATGAAAACCTGAAAAAGTCTTTGGGCAAAGCAGGCATACGGCTTTCGGAGTAGCCCAATTGGCTTTACCTTTGTTTACCTCTGTTGACGGTTATTCGCGTGTAGTAACAAATTAAAAAATATATAAAAAAAATTTTTCATAAAGATGGTGCCAGGATTTATTTAATAAAAAAATCGCAACAAAAAAATATTTTACAAGATTTACTATTTATATATTTAGGAGGTTATATATTTATTAAATCACTAATTTTTTTTTCAATTTTAAGAATCGTACACCTTATACTACGTATTTGATTTATTGGCTGTCGTTAGGAAATTGCCCCCGTTTTTGTGACTACGTTTTATTTTAAAACGTGTATAAAAGAACATTTAAAATGTGGTTTACAACAATTTCCGTCACACAATCTTGATAGATTTTCTCACAAGTATACATTTTAAATTTTACTACATATATCAAACATTATATTATATGTTGATATAATATAATGTTTGATAATTTAAATAAACCTAAAACAGTATTTTCAAAATCTGTGTAAAGTCGGTTTTACAACAATTTCTAGACCATTTCAATCTTTACTTGCCTGTGGTTCATATGTGTGTAGATCTGTAAAATATTATTACTCTGTGGTACATTTATACTCTAGCATCGATAGTGTATGTAATTTAGTAGTATACTCTGTAGTATGTGTGTAGTATATTCTTTGGTGGTATGTTAGTGTGTCTTATTAAACAAACTTGGCAGCAATAAAATTCAAACAATATTCTTATTGCAGTAAGAATTTAGTGAAAGTATAGTAGGAGTTTTGTAGGCCTTATTATACGCTGTGAATGAAAAGGACGTATACTTAAAAATAGTTTTATCATGATAGATGATTTAGAAAAGCTTAGTTGTAGTAAGTACCAGCATCTTTTGAATACACATTTTATTTATTAGCTTAACCCTCGCATCATTTTGCAGAAGAGGAGTTAGATTTAAGTGATGTGGAACATTCACCTTCAGAAGATATTAAAGATTCCGAAGAGAAACCGAAAAAGAGTCGTAAAAGACGACGCCGTGAAATTGATATGGTAGGTAACTAAAATCTTGTGCTTATCCGCTCTCTTAGTGCTTAATAATACAATTTAAACAATATTCATTTAATTTTGATTACAGCTACAATACTAAACATTTTTACTTATCTAGTTTCCCTCATGAATAGATGATATAAGGTTTGATTTTTGATTTCAGATAAAACTATCTGATGATGATGACACAGATGATGAGGGTCTATCTAAAAAACTAGTCCGCAAACAAAGCCCGGGACCAAACTCTCCTGCTTCCCACCGTGAACCAAGAACTTGTGTTCTAAAGGTTTTATTTTTACACTTATATTATAATTCTGTACTTATGTATATACAATATTACACTTGGTGCTTAATTTTAACTGTTTAATTTACAGGCAAGTCAGAAACGAAGACCTCTGTCTCGGTTGCTGGAACAATTGCTTCGTAATCTTGAAAAACGTGACCCAAATCAGTTTTTTGCATGGCCAGTAAATGATAACTTTGCCCCAGGCTATTCTACTATTATAAGAAGACCAATGGACTTCTCCACTATGAAACAGAAGATTGACGATAATGAATATAGATCACTGAATTGTTTTATTGTAAGTTTTTTATACATTATCATCGTTATAGTCATCATCATCCTTTATCTTTATTGGTCTCCTATGTTATTATAACAACAATTTGGGAATTGCTGGACACTAATGAGAAAACTTGTTAAGTTTTTTGTTCTAAGACATATAAAAAAGTTTTCTTTCATTAAAATGTCTATAACTAATCAATTGTGTAAGGCTTTCATGGTCATCATTCAGCATATAAAACGTCTAAGAAGAATTAATTCTTCGAGAGATTGAGGAGTTAACATCTGATGATCCCGTCCGCATGTGGTGGCAAAACATCGAGAACCTCTTCTCGCTCACGTCGGCCGAACAGCTGACCGAAAAGACAATGATGTGATGTCTGTAACTATCTAAAAGTAATTTGCCCTTATGATGTTAATTGTATCGGTGGCAACAAACATTTTATAAAATGAATTGAATACAGAGTCCCATACATTTATGCATAACTAGTATTCTCAGTGGAAAAACTAAATTCGCCTCTATATATAATAGATTTATTGATTCTTTAACTTGTTCTTTTCATTTAGAGTGATTTCAAGCTGATGTGTAACAATGCTATGAAGTATAACAAGCCCGGTACAGTTTACCACAAGGCGGCTCGAAGGCTGCTGCATTCAGGCTTGAAACAGCTAACACCGCAGAAGTTACGACCACTTGGAGACATTCTCACCTACATGTATGAGATACCAATTAGGGAGCTTGGCTTCGACATCGGGAAAATGGATGTGGTGAGTGAATTGTTGTCTAATGCAACATATTGCTAAGTAACAGTATTTGCATACCATGAACATGTATGTATCATAACTTTACTACACTTTATTATGTTTTATAAGGAAATGATTTTTTTGTTACATAACTCAAATGTGGTTCTAACAAAACGACATTACAAAATGTATTATAATTAATTCATATCTATATTGATAGTAAGGTATATTGGTTAATTATAATGAAAAGTGTATTCCTTGTAGATTGTCAAGTAGGTATTTATGAATTAAAAAACGTGCATGTATTTAATACTAATATTGCACTTGAAAGCTAGTTTGACAATATACAAAGACTTAAGTTAAACAATTGATGAGAGTAAATTTCCACGCAGCCGCTCCGGACATACGGTAGAAAGGTTTGCAATATAATTACTTTTTGAACAATAACTTAAGACCTGCATATATTATAGTTATCTTCGCGTCATTTCAGTTTCAGATATGTAGTTAGATAAGCACTATTCAGTAGTCTTCAAAACTTGGATATACTTGAATATTTGAAAAAAGTTCATTTATTATTTAAAAATTGATTCACTGAACTGGACTGTTAGCAATCAGGTCTCATATTATTGTTATGTAGTGTATGCACTAGTGAATAGATTCGCTTCCAACAAGTTTGTTTGTTTGTTTAGTACCTCTTAATTATAGTGCGAACTTTTGCATGCGGCGTGTGTGTTTTGTGTACAAAAATTTAATTCACATTTGTTCATCCAATTAAAGTTAAATCAGTGTGACAAATAGCGTATGATTTTTGGATTAAATTACATATGATTCCCAGTTTTAATTTCATAGCCTTCGTAAGGCTTTTTAAACTTAAGTATTTATATCATTGAATTTTATTAAAACAAAGCAACTTCAGAAAATAGTAAATCGTAGTTTTAAATTGTGTCAACTGTCAATCAATAAATGTCATAGCACCGTTTTCAAAATCTATTTAAATATTGTTTATGAAACGTACAGTTTTATTCGTGTATAATATTTAATAAGTTACACTTTCTAACAGCATAAGGTGCTGAAACGCAGTAGCCCAATCAAGAGCGGTGGGTCAGAGTGTGAAACCGTGTCTGATGGTCAAGAGAGACAAGACTCTGGTGATAGTGTGAAGATACAGATGGAGGCTGCTAGAGAGCAACATAGACGGCGATTGGCAAAGAAAGGTATGTTAATGATGCCTATAGATTTTAGTGTAACTGATTGTACTAGGCTTAGAAGGCATATATTATGCTGTTCTTTTCAAGATTGTCAAAAACTTAAAATTTTTTAATTCCTACCTTTTTTCCTTTGCACGAACAGGGCAAGAGTGGGTCACTTAAATAAGTTACTAAATGGATTGATCTTGTTATGTATTCTCAAAGGTTGGACCAAATAAATTTTTAGGTCAACATTATGTGACAATAATTGTAGCTTCCCTTTTAATGAGCTACATTAGTTTTAATCTTAAGTGGGCTTATTTTAATACTTATACTAACATTTACAGCCTTTCCCCGAATGGATGGGGACGGTAAGACTACCCTGTGTCTGGTTACACACCCAGTGGACAACAACAGTGAAGAGAAACCACTTACCCTTGGCCAGTATATCGGGAAGCTCACACAGGGCACGGGATCTTTGCACAGTATGTTCTTTAAATATGATTGATAGTGCTGATAAAATCTTTGCATCCTATTGATGATGGAAACGTTGTCTATGTCTTGTGTTACTCCGTTTTTGATACATTCATAAATGCTACAAGCTAAAAAAATCTCTCAGCATTTATTTGGACATTCATCATTAATTATTTATTTGTAGTAATATATTTAATGCTGGAATATCTTAATATTTCAACTATTTTAGAGCTGAAATTGGGTGGAAGGGTCGGTTAATCTTTTGGCTATACAAAAACTATTTGTTAAGATTTAAAAATGTATATATATAGAGATATAATCTAATAATTTTAATTCTTTTTCAGCGACTCGCGAGGATCGCCGCAACTTGGCTAAATGCGTGAAACCTTTAAACTACGGTCCATTCAGCTCTTATGCACCTTCGTATGATGGTACTTTCTCGACGCTAACTAAAGACGAGACTCATCTAATATACCATACTTTACGTAAGTTGTTATACAATAAGACAAATGTGCAAATTGATCCATGAAACTTACAGAAGTACTATAATAATAGATACAGATACGCTTAATTGCAACAAAACCAAAATATATAGTTATTGAGCCAATAAGTGTTGTTCAGCATTAATTAGTCCATTAAGTTACTACTGGTGGATCTCAGACCTTATTTGATAGTATAGGCTTGATTTACTATGCTATGTGTGCAAAATTGTGTTCAAATAAAATTCTTTTTTTTATGATCTCCGCAGTCTCCCCTACTGGACAAGGATGGGGGCTCACTCGATAGTTGGTGAAATACCTGAATATGTAGCATCTGTTGAACAAGATATTCAGAAATCCACAGATAATAATTGCAATACGATTAAACTTCACAGCTTATGCAACAGTAGACTATGGTTTCTGACGGAATTTCGATACTCCTACCGCCCAATAAATAACAACATGGTTTAGGAAAATTATAAATTGATAAAAAAAATGTTGAACCCGGTGGGGTTCGAATCCGCGATCTATAGATTAATATACATGGCTACCATTTTGTCTACGAGCCCTTCAAATTATTCAAGTTATAATTTGTGTTAAATTTATTATAGCGTCAGAGACAGGCCAGGGCAATGAGGAGATGCTGCGGTTCGCCACGGATTCTCCATGGGCGGTTATATACGACATGGAGGCGCTATTCCCCGGCAAGAAGTCTCAGTCTGAACAGACCGCGCAAAAGGACGATAATGTACGTTGCAACTGTTTTTTTTTAATTAGAAATATGTTTCTACTGTTTTTGATTTTTTTAGCTAAGAATGAGAAATAAAATTAACAATAATATTTAAATATAGAAGTCTTTATCAAGAATTTATATAATATCCGCTTTTATTCCTATGTGTCTTTCTAGTTTTATGGTTTTTGATGTCACTTTATCTCAGAAATTTCTTGTAACGGAATAATATAAAACTCGTGATTTTTTGTAATTTGAATAGACTTGTTGCCCTAAAATCGATTATGCTACCAAGTAACTGCAGTTGTGAGAAGAGTAGCTCACACACACACTACGCACTCTCCAAGATGACTAAGCTGCATAGCATACTAAATTTAGCTTGGAGGGGACACATTTAAATAAAACTGTTTAAAACACGATATACATTAGCTAATCAACTTATTTAGTGTAATTAAGTAGGATGCATATTTTTTATTTTTATTGATTTCTCATAATTTCCATAATTGAACGATTTTAATTTAAAACAGGATTCATCAAAAGTCAAAATAGATATAGAAGAACTCCGCGCCCTCTCGTCTGAAATGGGCATAGACACGGAGTATCTTACAGAAATCGAAGAGGAAGTGGCCGCTGCGCAGCACGACTACGGAATCTCGGCGGCATTGCGCCACACGGGAGATCTCATTGCCAAACTTGAAAAGGAACAAAAGGATCGGTAAAAACCAATTTAAAATTTATTACCTCTAAAGATTTATCGTGATTTTAAAATAGCGTAGTTTATTAGAGATGTGTTGGAGGTTCTGTTACGTTACATTATGTAAAGCCGCTGTTCGACTTTTAAATTCAGTATTAATAGATTTGCTTAGAGCTATTGACGTGAGGACGTCTTATAATTTGATGGATCTGGCTGCACGTACAAAAAACATTACGCATGCGGCGTCACCTCGATCTGATTCGTTGCATTTGGAACTTGAAGTGCAAACGAGAGCGCGAAATGAGCGACAAAGAGGCACAATCGGCAGCGTTCATCATCTGTCTCTCTCGTACTAGAGGGAAGCGATGCGTCCGCGTTGACAGCTGCTATACAATAATACATTTACATGTTTCCTTACCTCCTCTATATCCATACATATCTATAAAACAAGTAACATTAAAATTTTCTTTTGAAAAATAAAAGGATTCCATCAGTATTTCCTTATGACGCTGTCACGTTCAGCTATCGTCAGTAAACCGAGTTTACCTTAGAGTTTAGACATCCGTTTTTTTACTTACTCTTAAAGCCGAGACGCATGCGCACTTTTTTAAAATTCGAATTTGTCATACATGCAAAGGTTGCCTGGAAGAAATCGCCATAAGCGATAAGGCCGCCTTTGCACAAACATGTTTTATTGTGTATATATAATTCTAAGTATCTATGTTCTTATGTCTATGTATGTGCAATAAAGAGTTATTATTATTATTATACAGGCTCTCCGCCCCGCCCCCGTGGCACTTGTCACTATGCCCGAAGCCGAATGGAGCTGAACGTGAGCTGGCCCGCTTAACAGCCAGCTGCCTTCGATCTATGATCCAGCGGGTACCGCCCAAACATGTAGCGCCGGTCACTGAGATACGACGTGCTATGGGCGTTACGCTTGAACATCTTGGTAAGTCCGTTATAAGAAAGGAGGGGATAAGCATGGGGTTATGGACGGTTATGTATCCAAGCCGTATAACATCAAAAACTCTCTGAGCAAACAGCACGGAACGCTGTTGATGCCGGTTCAAGACCTGCCCACAAGGGCAGTCGTAGTTTTTAAAAATCTATTAGAGATTTTAATCTCTATAGCGATAATAAAATGTGATACCGTGTAAAGATCAATGCATCAAGTATTATGCACTACCACCGCTAGAAAAATTTATGGTCAGTCGAAAGTCTACGCTAGTTATAAGCAAACGTTACTTGGCTCATTTGTATAAGGCGTTGTCTTTGCATTGAGATAAGTCGTGAGGTCCTTGATTCGAAAAAAAAATATTATTAATTTTATACCTTCAGATACTCCAATGGCGGTAGATGACTTCGAGCTAGACCTCCACGAACTGCGAGACATTTCAGATCCAGATTCGAGATCCAGTCACGACAAATAAACAGATCTCGGTTCGAAAGTAAACCTTTTATTGAGGGTTTTGTATTAGCTAATAAGCTTTAACTATAAATTTTTAAAATAAAACTATTGAAATAATTAATTGTTTTTTTTTTATTATAACGTTTCTAAAGAAATCATTTAGTGGTCCAGTAAATGATTTTTTGTAGTTCGGTCTTGGAATATTTTTAAATTAGTTTACAGCCATTATTATTTAGATAATAATTTTAACTCATAATTATTATATTTCAGAGTGAGTCACACTTTAACGGTTTAAAATGCGATATATATTAGTTAAACTTATTTGAAAATTATAATTATAACTAAGGCCCGACGTTTCGGATACTTTGCAGCAGTCGTGGTCACTGGGAGTCTTAATAATAAGGAAGTTTAACTAATACATATCGCGTTTTAAACCGTTAATATTTTATTAAAATTACTGAATCTTACAGAAAATCCTCCATTTCTTTTAATATTATTTTTCATTAAACGTGGATTTTATGGTGTTTATAATTTATATATCAAACTTATGAGATAAGATTCCCTGAGGAAACTTGGCAAGTTCTCATTAATTAAAACTTTCCTAACCTTACAACTAATATTCTCGGAGACCACGAGGGATTTCTACCTTCTTTTATACCTATACATCAACACGACAAAATAAAATGTATTAAGCATCATACATTATCAAACCACAAAGTCAATCAGCAAAATATATTTTACACGCAACGTGATCGATTGGACATTAGCGTGTCAGTGAATTCATTCGCGTAGAATTTTGGGCAAATTTTAAATTTGTTTTTACAAACCTCTTAATTGCCTCTTGCAAGTTTATTTTTAAAAATTGATATATGTCGGATTCTTTAAAATCATGTAAAGAGAAATATTCTTTCATTCATATTGTTTGGAAACCTTTAATTCGCAGCGTACTCTGAAAACAAGTGCAATAATTTTTAAGTGAAAAAAAAATAATTTAAATTCGAACCAGTAGTCTAAAATTAGCCGAAGATTGCCCGACAGACCCGAACCCAGCACTTGGTAATCAACAGTCGATTGCCAACCACTCGATATATAAGGTTTATAGCCCCCATTAATTAAATACGGATCACCTGTTAGTTAAATCAAGTGCATCTTTCACAATGCGCGCGCTGCCGGTCGCGTGTGATCGCGTGCGCAGATCTAGTCACACGCCTCGCACGCGCCGCTGGGGGAACCCGGTTAGGGAAGATATTGATTGGTTTTTTGCTTTATGATGGAAATTGTTTATTAATAATTCGATGACGTTTCTTCTACTTAAAATGATATTGTACAGATAAAAGTTAATCAGTGCTTTACTTTTTATTGTTTTACTTATTACTTAATGTTATCATTTAGTTATTACAACAGATTGAAAGCCACATGATTAGTCCTTCAGGCGGTTTACGCTTACCATATCCCCCAGTCCTCCCCCCCCATCTGCGCAGAAATATTCTTTAATCGATCATACTTGCTAATATTTTTCCTTAATTCCTAAGCAAAACAGTCAAATAAAGATCAACACTTAATTTGTTTTTTAGGTTTAGTATTTGGATAAAGTTTCTTGTTTTTGTCCATTTTTCAGGTCAACATAACTATTTTCACACTAACCATACTATTTGAGATGGAATATTTCTGTTCAAATAAACCATAAAAAATGAACCCGCGCGCAGACATAACAGTAGAATATTATCACATCAAACAACCGAGTTTCATACACCCCCATGTACCCTCTTTCACATGGGAACAGAATTCACCCCAAAAGTTAAAATAAACCCTATACATCGCAAAATGTACCTTATGCGTGTGTATTACAGTTAGTACAATACTACCGTTAATAACTTTGTATTTAGGTAAAACGATACGAATAAAAGTAGTGGCTTTGATTATAATTTGTATTTGTTCCGCGACATTTAGTGGTCTTGACTGATTGTGGGTAAATAGTAGAACGCGATACCTACGAAAATGTAGTTATATATACTTAAAATTATGCTTTACATGTACAGCAATGCTTCAGAAAGCTTCTAATAGACTAAATTAGTCTACTTGACAAAATCGAAGACGCAACCTAGACTTGAACCCACGACCACAGTGTTGTCTGACTTGCTGTTTAATTTCTGAAAACATCTAAAATAATTATTTATAAATATGCGTTATAATATTTTCGAATGAGCAACTATTATATTTTTTTAGTATATTGATTGAGCTTTTACAAAACCATTACAATAATTAGGTGGTTTTTAACGAAATATCTTATCTTTTACTTACGATTCGATGTTTCGTTTGATAATATTTAGTATTTTATATTGTAAAATGTATATCAAGTTAAGTGAGTTTCCGTTTCCCCCTCGTGGGGCATGGGGCGAACACATTCTTGTGTTCGTTTAACAGGCAAGTAGTTGATCAGACTTCTGTGCCCTGCCCGACCGAAACATTTTTTGTTTCCCTGGGATTCGAAACCAGGACCTCTCGCGCTTAACGCAATGCTAGGCAATACTTTTAACCATTATGTATATACTATAATAACAACTAAGTACCTTACAAACCACTACATAATTATATTTATTTGTAATACATAAGTACTACGTTTAATGAATATAATCTTTGTATGTACTAATCCGAAATGTTAGCGAACTAAAGGAATGGAATGTTTGAGAATGTTTTACGGAGCTTTTAACTTTAGAGACCGATTAAAATTTCGTAAATTTGTAATCCTTTTTGCAACATTGTTACCTTTGAAGGTATCACCTTGCACAACTTATCAGATTTTGCCATTCAAGAGGCAATAACGATAATCCTATTGCGTTTAACTCAAAAGGTTTATTTTTTACGGAGTGCGATTGAAGAACCGTCTTTATGGGCAATACTCTACGTTAGAATCAAAATTAATTAGTTAGTGCATAAGCAAGTGAGTCCTAAAATTAAAACAACTTAATAAAGCCTGAATGAAAATGACTGAAAGATTAATTTTCAGCCATGTTATTCAAACTTCTGATCATGTCTGATCGAAACTTATGTTTCTCGAGATTCAAATCGAGGATCTCCCGTACATTACGCGATGCAGGCAACTCTTTAACGATTAAGCCACATTAATGTATTCCGTTCAATATAATTTTGTTTTCGGCGTTCCCCTACGGCGAAGTACCACAACAATCAAACAAATAACCTTCTAAATCCAGACAAAAATAAATACGTTCCCAAGCAAATTCAGCGTACCTACTTAGCTTCATCAAAAAATATTTTACAACAATGTCTACGGCACTTGAGTTGTTATATTTGTGGGCAACTCAATGGGCACAAAAGACCTCGTTTTGCAGACAAAAGTTCAATAACAATGCTTTTGAGACACCTGTCCGAAAGTCCCACAACCTCTCACGCCTACAAAAAACGGGTTAGTTCTTTAGGCGGAAAAGTTCACTTTTTGTATGTACATATTTTGAAAAAGTATTAAGGTTGAGAGGGTTCAGATATAAATGATGTAGCAAAAAAGTCACCAGTAAGATTCGTGAGATTTCGATTTGCTCGACCGACTGAAAAAGCGGATTATGTTTTGAAACTATTACTTATAACAAGTATTTTACTATTTAACAAAAGGCGAAAGGCCCTATAAGATTCGAAAGTAATTTTTTTAATATGGTTTAACATTTCAACAAAATGCGCTTGCGACCCACGGCTTTGGACATTCGGAAAAACAGACTAAAACCGAAACGTGTTTAAATTTGTCGTGACTCTTTCATATGTGGACGGCGGTTCGTGACTCGGACGCAATTTTCAATTTTCCTACTACCCATCCAGATTTTCAGATAAATTCCAAATTGTTCATTGATAAGCAACAAGTTGAGCTTGATGGCTATCAAACCCACGACCCATTAAATACAATATAGTGCTACACGACCAACGATCAAATAAGCTAAGTATATTTATCGAGTGGAAATTCATCAAATAATTTAAAAAGTATAGCAACAACACGAAACGTTTTGGAGGCCGGTTCGAGACCCCCCCCCCCCGTGTCGTATATTTTTTTAATCTAAATTGTTTTTAAATTTATAAAATGTTGACTTCCGAGCGAAGTGTGCGAGTGAATATTTAATACACAAGTGGCTTATATATTTCAGTTTAATTTATCAGTAAGTACATAGAAAGTAGGTCACCCAATACCAACTTAATCTCTCTTCCCTGCAGTCGCACGCTCCTCATAAAGCTATCCCCCAAAATTAGCCCAATGAAATTGCGTTTCCTAATTGATGCAGTCTCCCACCGTGCGCCGGCCACGCGGCGATTTAAAGCGTGCAAAGAATGCCACTTTAATAAAAATGCACTCTATAAGTAATACACATAGGGTTTATTTTAACCTGTCCGTTTTAACTGTCAAATACATCAAATGGTAATGACCCTCTGAAAATGATCGTGCGTTGAATTATTTTCTAGTACCGCACACCAAGGTTCAGTATTCCAACATTCGAGGGCAAATTAAAAGTGGTATTGTGTAAAAATGTCCACCAATTCCTATGCGGCTGCATTAGTTCTTATTGCCACGTTGTAGAATGCATATTAGGGTAGTTCGATTTTTGCACTAAGGGTTGTTTTACACACGCGGCGTGCCGCGGGCGTCCGGCACACTCCCGAAACGTCGCTCGACGCGTGCGCACGTGTGCTGCGTCGCATGCTACCACTACTGATAATTATTGCGAATTTTACTTATAGTGATAAGAAGTTGAACTTAAAAAACTAAGTGGCTGTGACTTTTAATCGTATAATTGTGTCGTGTATTTCAATTAAAAACATTTGAAAAGTGTCTTTACAAAGTTAAGATGGATTATCACAGACATATGGAAGCTACTCATCAGCAGAGTCAGTCGAGTCAGTGGAACTACGGCTGGGGTCCGCCTGCGCCGGCGCCGGCACCAGCTCCTCCATTGCCACCCGCTCCTGCGCAAAGAAATAAAAGAACACACTCGGAGAGTGAAGACGATGCCTTTTCAGAGGAAAGCAGCAAAGACGCAACGTAAGTCATAACAATGTCGTATTTCTTACTAAGACACATTTTTAAAGTTATCCTGGTTTAAAACGAGAGTAATAACTACTACAAAAATACGTATATAAGCTGCATACAGCAATAAACGCTAAAAACACAAAAACATATTTAATTTGTTTTAAATCCACAAAAGTTTTATTGAGCAAAAAAACTCATTGTCTACGCTAAGCTACGAGCCGGAGCTACGACGTAGATCGCTAAATGTCAATTTAGTTATTTCTTATTATTCTTAGGACTGGAAGGCTAAAATTGATTTTAATAATTACTTATTTTATAGGTAGGTTGTAGGTATTTAATATAATTATAGGTTTCAGTATAAATCAATGTTGGTCTGAATTAAATTGAAAGATATTATTTTCTTACATTTCAAAGTGTTTTGAAAGGAGATATTGTTATTGTTCAGTGATTGTGCTCATAATAGCTTTTCTTAAACAATTCAAAATATTCTTGTATTTAAAATATTTTTTTTTCTGTGTATTATACTTATTAATTTATAACTATACCTATAAAAAATGTATAAGTCTTTATAACATTTTAATAAAGAAACAAATTAAAACAATTAATTACACACGATAAAAAAGCTCTGACCTTGAGTTTTGTTTACTATAACTTACTGTTGCTTACTATTTTTTACCATCCCTGTAGCTCAACGTGTTGCTTAGCATTGCGTAGCTTAGCAATCGAGAAAGGCCCTAACTGCGAATCCCATGGAAAATATCCATTGTTTCGTTCGGGCAGGGCATATTAGTCTGATCAACAACATCCCTGTAATAAAAACCGACAGTAAAACGAACACAGAAATGTGTTTGCCCCGTGCCCGTGCAAATGGGATTTCATTTTCATTATTTTTATACTATGGCTTTTCCTTTGTGCTAACAGACAGAAATATGTCAACAGGTCTCCAGGTGGTGACTCCTGTCAATTAATGACGCGCAAACGAAGAAGAGGGGTGATCGAGAAGAAGCGTAGAGACAGAATTAATACATCATTAACCGAACTTAAGCGATTAGTTCCTGCTGCTTGTGAGAAGCAAGGTTCCGCTAAACTGGAGAAAGCGGAAATTCTACAACTAACCGTGGACCATTTGAAAATGCTACATGCTAAAGGTAACTTCAAATTTAATTATGTTTTTGTATAACAGATATAAAAGATATGTTCAAATGCCCCAGCTGTACATCATATATTTAAGATGCGTTGTCGACTTTTTCTTTTGTGATTAGAAAATCCAAGACTGCGAATTTACAATGTACGTTTGATCCTTTTTATACAAATTAGCGTTTTAATCAAACTTAAGTACCAAATTTAAATAATATAAAGTATATAGGACGGCTATGCATACACATGATAATAATAATGTTTCAAGCACCAATTTTCATATTTTCAGGTCTGTTAATGTTAAAATATTAGATTTTTAAATGATCAATCCATTATCCAATATTGTATAGGTATATAGAACTACCGTAAATATTATTTGCGGTTACGTGAAACCATATAAAGGTAACAAAATCTAAAACTTTTTAATACGCACTTAGGGAACCGTTACATCCGACGATTATAGAAAACCTGTTGAAATTCTTCGTTTCCGCTTCCTCGCTTACAAAAGTTTCGCAATAAAAATTCATTGTGAAGAGCTTATTTTACCGTTGTAAATTCATATCCATTGCGTTGATGTGATGAATTTAGTTAACTGCACTCTATAACTAATGTTATTTATAGATTTTATAAAATTATAACAATCAAAAATCACAAATTTTTTATGTATTTAAACAAAAATGACAACAATAAAAAAACGACATCACTGCATAGTATAAAACAAAGTCGCGCTTTCTGTCCCTATGTTCGCTAAAATCTTTAAAACCATGCATCAGATTTCGATGCGGTTTTTTTTAATAGATAGAGTGATTCAAGAGTATTTTATACCCAACGTTCACAGTTGTTCTGTAGCGCATTTAGAATCAGCATTGCATCCGACCGAAGCTGGGGCGGGACGCTAGTATTTAAATAAAATTCAGTATTTAAGAAGATGGTAAAAGTGGTCTTTATTCAACTATCTCTTATAGCCTCCCAAGAATCCGATGAAAATAGACAAGTTAGAAAATAAAGCCAACGTTAATTAAAAAATATTGTATTTGAACAATAAAGTAAATGTACTGAATAACTATTTGGTAATTATACAGTCTTTGGGGTGTAAAATTTGCATTAAAACGGTTATCTCTTATCAGAGGCCATCAAAAGTCCAGCGGGGTCCTAGTTCCCACGGTCGGCGGCAACAGGTGGCACTTTTTATGGCAGGATACAGTCGAACTAATTCATATTATGTGCCCTTGCGAAAGATCCGGAAATGTTTAGCAAACACATACTTGTGTTAGAATAAATATGTTTTTCAATTCATAGTTTTCCCGAAAAATAAACCTTCATTTGCGTCACGTGTAACTAGAAGGCAAATCTTTTAGTCTTCATTTATGATAAAGGAGGACAGACAAGCAGGTAGGTGAACTCAACCATTACATTTAAACGAGGTGCTGTGACCTCTTTGTGATTATACGAAAATCCACAGACTGAAACCGACACCGATGGTTCATGACCCGCGCGGATTTTCAATAATGTTTACTACCCATTTCATATACAGATTTCCAGACGAAGTCCAACATGTTTCGGAACAATTAAAAATTGATTAGAAAAATGTTGGACCCGACGGGGATTGAACGACCCGTTGAATTAGCCATATTGTGCGACCATTACAGAGTCCGTCAAAATTTCTCTCAGTCTGTGTTACTAAAAATCTTATTACACGACTGTTTATTTATTCTAATAGATTATTTAAACCAGGGATAGCCAAGCAAAAGACAGCAAAGAGAAAATGTAATTACCGTTCCTTCCGGTGCGCAATCGTTGACCTTTGGCGCAGTATAAATATTTAAAAGATTTGCTACCCGTTGCGTCAACTTTGTGGTTAACCAAACGACCGCGGATTTACGCTTCACGAGTTCCTACTATAATTCTAACTATCTACTCTACTTAATTAATAATAACTTTTAATTTTCCTTTTACAAAAAAAAACATATTATTAGATTATATGAGACTTCTAGAGGCAGAGTGGCCTAATAAAAAACATGATTTTTAATAAGGAGGAATGTAAAAATGCGCAATTAGACGATAATCGAACGAACGGCTACCAGTACCGTGTGTATCAATGATTTAGTTCGAAACTTGACTGTATTAAAGACGCGTTAAAACCACCATTCAGGTGGACATTATAATTAATAAACCATGAAACCACAGGTAGTTCAAGTAATCCGGGTGGTACACAAACGGACACACACCTGGCGCTAACAAAAACGCCAACAAACAGGAAGTGATATTGATCTAATAGATTAATTTTGTCTCTTTCGCACATAGGAAACGAAAGATTATCTTTTTTTTATAGAATCAGAGTCAAATATTGTAAAAACAGTGTATTACAGTTCATTTAGATATTGACATTTGTAGTTCCTTGTTTTTATTTTAAATCGCCTGCCATAAAACAATAGCAGTGTTGCATACGTTATACATTTAAATAAAACATCTTTTAACGGTTTAAAACGCGTAAATCGTTAAATTATTTACAATTTATTTTAACGGTTTCGGATGCTTTCAGCAGCCGTAGTCACGGGAGGACACCCTTATGTAAATAAATTAAGTAATATATTACGATTAAAACCGTTTAAAGTGTTTTAATAGTGTACTACTCGCATAAACTACGGAGATCTATATTATATGATCGAAGAGACAATAACATGAAATTAACACTTATCGAAAAGACCAGTATAAGGGGTGGCGTGGGAATCGAACTACCAATATTATCCCATTGCTTGGAGGGCAGAGGGTTGGCCCTCTAGCTTACTGACGTATGCTTATTGGGAGGGAATTATTATTCCCCCCCCCGGTCCAATCTCTGGGGGAATTATTTTTAAATAGGAAATTATTCACACTTTTAAACAGCTTTTTTCAAATTTAGATTTTTTTATAAAACATTTAAGGTATAAAATGAATATATTAGTTAAGCTTACTGAAAAAAATTATGTATTATATTTATAGTCTCTGTGACCACTGCAAAGCATCCGAAAGGTCGGGGTTATTTAAAAAAAGTTTAACTAATATATTTCGCATTTTAAACTGTTTTATTTAAATGTTTACTACTCGAGTAAAGTACATACACAGTCTGACTTTAAATTTTACTACTTGTTTTTAAATGAAGGACGAAACAAACAAGAAAAAATGTATTTGGCTTTCTTATATGTTCGGTCCATCTTAAAATATCTACACCTAAGTACATTGTATGTAGCTTATGCGAGTATGCACATTGAAATAAAACACTTTTAACGGTTTAGAACAATAAATATATCAGTTAACTAATTTCCTAATGGACACAGCCCCCAAAGCTGCTGCAAAATACCCGAAAAGTCGGGCGTTTAAAATAAATCTTAGATACAATTGTTTTATATAGACGTCTATGTTATTAATTTTAAAATCCTGTATTTTTCAAATAAACCCTTAAAGGGTATGAAGCACTCTTATCCTGCTCTCCTGCCCTACCTTCGCTTCCAAAACATCAAGAGCGTAGCGGATCTTATTAATTTTTTACTTTTATTCCGGAAGATCTCCGGAAAGGGTTCCCGTTACGTTCCTTCTCTTTTTCGCTCATTATTGTCCAATCCTCTATCTCTTTCTACTTGTTGCATAAGAAAGGGTAACTTCAAAGGGTGAATCTGAATGGGAAGAATCGCTTTTTGTTTAGTTCAATAAAAAGCTTTCTTTGTGAATGCTTAAACGAAAATTGACATCTGCGTACGAGATACGACAAAATGCATAAAAAAGTCTTGAATAAGTCAGTTTTCAATATTGTCCTCTTAAGTAGATGGTTTAACTGTTTGAAACTCGAAATATATTAGTTAAGTTATTTAATAGTTTATATTAACTAGGAGCAGACGTTTTGGATGCTTTGCAGCAGCCGTGGTCGCGGGTGGACCGTTAGTGTTTAATTTGAATGTCTCCCCTTACCACTGTCACATGTCTATGTCTGTTTGCAATCATCAGACCACGATATCAGGACCTAAAGAATAGACCTATTGTTTTCCATTGTATATTTAATAAAGATTTTTTTTTTTGCAGGTCTCGATACGCTGGCCTACGATCCACAAAGATACGCAATGGATTACCACAGCATAGGGTTCAGAGAATGTGCAGCTGAAGTAGCCCGATATCTAGTCAGCTGTGAGGGCCTGGACATCCAAGATCCCTTACGCCTTCGTCTCATGAGCCACCTCCAATGCTTCGCGGCACAACGTGAACTTGCAGCCAAATCCGCGAACTGGGGTTACCCACAATACCCTCCAGTTCAGCACACCGGTTATTCAAGTCAGGACCCTTCAACGTCCACAGCACCGTCCATACCAGCACCCACACCAGTCGCAGCGCCTTTATCAGCAGCACCCGCATATCCACATTACCCACCAGCTCCCCCCGCACCGCCTGGTCCACCAGTACCCCCCGGTCCTCACCCAGCACCGACAGCCCCCCATTATCCCGCTCCATATCCTCACCATCCCCCACACCATCAATATTCTCAAAACAGTTCAAAACCGTATAGACCTTGGGGTGCAGAACTGGCGTACTAGTGTTTACAGTAATAAATTTTGGATTGAATCAACAGCGTCAGAGAGTATAAACAGCAAAATTTTATATCGATTTCTTTGCCATTCCAATATGCTTCAGAGGTAGCGGGTTCAATTCAGGGTAAAATAGAGTTTTAGTTAAAGAAAACGATGAGTGATACGGACACACATATGCCCCCCAAGCCACAGTAACAGAATAATGAAATTAAGAAAGTTAGGGAAGCTCCATTAATACTTTCTTTTTTACATTTAATAATTAGTTCTCAGTAATTATGGAAAAACAATGTTTTCAGAATAAAATGATAAATAACCACATATTGTAGATAGTTTGCGTTTGTATTAATTACTAATAATTTATTGCTTGAATTGAACGTGATAATTCTGTAACAAATATTGAGTTTAAATAAAATACTTTAACGGTTTAAAACGCGATATACATTAGTTAAACTTATTTGAAGATTATATTAACTACGGCCCGACGCTTCGAATGCTTTGCAGCTACCGTGGTCATGGGAAGACTGAAAGTAATTTTCAAATAAGTTTAACTTCGTGTTTTAAACCGTTAAGGTGTTTTATTTAAATGTGTACTACCCGCATAAACTACACATTTTATTTAAATATTGAGTTTTTAATTCGCACTTGCTGGTGATACACAGACCTTGTTGTATTTTTCTAACTATGTTAGAAAAATGTTTACAACTCGTAAATGAATCAAATTTCACGTTAAAATATCGCCGCGTGTTACAAGATCACAGAGTTTATACCGAAATTTTTAAGACTGTTATAGAAAATAGATATTGAATTAGTTTAAGTGATATTTATGTACTTGACTTAGATCTTAAGCGAAGTAAAGTTATTTTGGGACCAAAAACAAGCTTTAACACGTAAAATTAGTTTTAAGTGGATTTTCTCTTGGTTGTGAATACGTAATGTTACATAAAATACATCGAGATGATGGATGGAGAATGCTAATATACTTATAATAAATTAAATTAAATAGTTTTATTAAGTAACAATGTCAATACGAGTTGTATTGGGAAATTCTATTATACTATAGGTACGGTTAATTATAAATACTATTGTACATATTGTATATATAATAATTTAAAGATTATAAAATGATTGAAGAATAAATTATTTTGAAATAAATTATTTTGGAATTTCTTAAAATCTTGGCTTTATTAATTACTTCGTCATTAATAATGTTGTTCTACATTGGGTATTGGGTAAAAAAAAACTAAGTACATACTTCTTTCCCTTTTTTTTTCCAGTTTTTAAATCAATTTTATACAGATATAAAAACATGAAAATACCAATACATCAAATGTTTCACGCGTATAACACACTCGTGAGTCGACACAAGGCACGCACACGAACGTACAAAAAATAACTTTTTTGCACCCCAAGTTCCTACGGAAGTAACGAGGGAGAGGGAAATATGTAGCGCGTGTGTGCGAAAGGGTAGGGTGTGAGAAATGCAAGGGAAGTTATATCCCATACGAGCAGCCGAGTGGGACGGTCCAATGTTGGACATCTGGTAGGTCGTGGGGTCACGATTGCAGCACCTGTATTCTGCTTACTGTATCTATTATTTGCACAGGACTTTTAGAGAATCGCATAGCTGGAGTTAAAAAATAAAATTATAAATATTTAGAATATTAAAAAAAACCTTTATACTATTGTGCAAACTTTTCTAAGAACACTTTTACTTAAATGAAATATGAGTAGATATTTAGTAGTTAAAATCGAAATGAGTATAGAAAGATTTTAATTTAAAACTAGTTAGAATCTTTTCAGAGCGTATTCTTGTATTTCTTTTCCTTTTATCACTTTCCTATTTTTTAATCAAAAAACGCTACTATGTCCGCAACGCAGAATATTGCTCCTATTAGAAATAAATAAAAAATCCCGTTAGAACCATTCCAGTCTTCTAAGTCGCAGGCAAAAGCTTCTCTATAAATAAAGACTTGTTTATCAGATATTTCAATAAGGCGAAAATTGTGCCGTTGCATAATTATGGCTTGAAACTTTTGTTAATAGAATAAGTAAGCAACTAGGGGTATAAACAAGGGACTATAGGACATTGTTATTTTGACGCGTAGAAAGGACACGAATGACGCAATTATTGGATGATTTTATTATGTTGAGATTTAGTAATAAGGTAGCAATATTTTAATAAAGGACAAGCTAGGAGTTCGCATTACAAAATGTTTAGCATTATTGAATGACTTATTTTGTCTTTAGAGTTTTCAGTACATGGCCGCTAGTTCAATTGATGACCAAATTTTGACCCTCAAACTACTAATTTAATTTAAATAAAACACTTTAACGGTTTAAAACGCGATATATTAGTTAAACTAGCAGACAGCCGTGGTCACAGGGAGTCTCCCCGCTCCCGGCTGCTGCAAAGCATCCGAAACGTCGGGCCGAAGTTAAAAATAATTTCCAAATAAGTTTAACTAATGTATCGCGTTTTAAACCGTTAAAGTGTTTTATTTAAATGTGTACTACTCGCGTAAACTGTAGACAGTATTTACTAGTTTAATGTCTAGAATTTACAGTTCTGTAAATCTAACATTTACCTAAGATCTAAGATTACTTGCAATTGATTCTGGACCCAGTGGGAATCAAATCTACGATCCATTATTAGGTTAGTAGCTATACCGATCAGTCATAAAACTATGGTTGAGCTCCATGAATAATAATGTTTAATCCCAACGTCTTGTTATAATATAGATAGCTCTCTGATATACGTTATATATAAATCTCATATAATATGTCAACCTTAGACTACAATAGCCTTGCCGAGGCACGTCATTCACTAAGCACACAGATACACAATATTTAAGATAAAATATATTTTCTCTCTAATCTAATAATTAATTAAGTGACTTTGTCTAACTGATAACTTTGTTTGTTGTGGAGTAGAATTCCGAGAGATAGGTAGGCAAATTAAGAAATAAATAAATTGTACTATATATCGTATGTCTATTTTAATAATATTATATAATATGTATTAGTTTTAGACCTTAGGCCCGCCCACTTGAACCTGTTTCGTCAATGGTTTTTCCAAACGTCGTACGATAAAGTTTTGCACGTCAAAAGATAATTTCCTCTTAGACCTTTGCAAATCTCTTTCCTTGCACGTATGCAAAATAAATAATCTTATAACGATATAAATAGATTAGAGATTTACATATTTTAGTTTATAAGGAAAATAATATATAATTCAAAATAAGAACTCACTGTGTAAATATTTTTTCACGTTAAAAACTACGTATAACATTATCCTGTACTAATTTTGCACATTCGTTTTAAAACGAAAACAAGTTTTACTGGTCATTCTTCACAAAAGCTGTAGATGAAAGCTTACCCTAAATGTACAGGACAAGTTATTCAATGCAATAACTGCAATAGTGAAAGTGAATATTGATGCAGTAAGAGTAAAGCATGATCTTTTACCATTTTTTATGGGACAGTGATAACATCGACCCATAGAATAAAGGACGACAGCACATTTTGTTGAGATGTTGTATGGCGGGGTATTTCACCTACTATCAAGTAAACTCATGCTTGTCTATTCTCCTCTGTATTAAAAAATCTAAGCCATCATTATGCGTAGAAGACGAAGAAATTAAATAAGTACAGTCGATATATTAAATCTTAGTTCTATACTAGACGAGAAATTTTGAAACGATATTGAAAAAGTCCTATTAAAAAATACAGTTGCACAGTAATTTGCAAAAATTTGTATATGGTAATACCTACTTGTTCTTAGAAACTCGTATCCATGACGTGTATGACATTGGGGAAACCCGATTAGCTCTAAACATACGAAAATTACTATTTATCATTATTATCTGGGCGTAACTGACAGTCAATCACTTAGACGAAAATTTAGTGCAAAAACATTGTAAAGAATATGAGAAAAATGTGGATTTTCACAAACACGCCCACTAAAAATCAATATTTATATTTTAGTTGTTAATATCGCGAATACAAATTTATTACATGCTTAAGAGAAAATTGTTTTACTAGAATTAAGCTTTGTATAATTACAAAATATTTAATATAACATTTTTGACGGCTTAAAATGCATTATATAAACAAATATATAGCCAATTTTCTACTAAGATTTGACGTTTCGGATTCTTTACAGATATCGTCATAATATTTCGCATTTAACCGTTGACCGATAACGCATAAAGTACAGACAATACTAGAATGTTACTAATTATAATTTCGTACTCGCGTTATCCTTTTGTGTTAGGATTTTAAACTGGTTTCAAAAATATGATTGTTAGCAAAACTAAACACGTGCTCATAACAGACTTTAGCCTGTTAAGACTAAATATTGTGGTTAAGTACCGGTCTAACCTGTTACGTGCATTGTACCGGCTTTTTAAAATAATGAAGAAGAATAATCCTCTACACTCATAGCAGAACAATATATTGTTTACACTTTTGTAAGTGGAAATCTCAAATCTATCGATAATGTGAATACTACGTTATGGTAGAGCACACACGGAACCTCCCATGCCTTTCAAGGTTCTGCCCTAGTCGAAGAGCCTTTTCATTTATTTCGATTTTTAAGTTATACTACGATTATGTACCCACTATACCCACTTCTGTAGGTAAATAGCCCCGTTTCCTAAGTGAAAAGCTACAGGAAAAATCTGTACCGTTTATTAAACGACAGAACCATTTAGAATTTACATGGTTTTTTACTTATTTTTAAATTGTAACATTTAGCCATTACATTTTATGCATGTAGTGACCATTTTTAAACAGTATGTAATGTTTTCAAGTTACATATTATGTCCGTAGAACAATCCCCTGGCAATATATATAGTATCATCCTCTTAAAGAATTTATTCAATCAATTTTATTGGACGCCTCATATATATTATATAGTTCTCGTTTCAAACGACATTATATTATGTAATCACATAAAAGAAAGGATGAAATAAAAAGCAAACAGTTAAAAATATTCACTTATTTATTTACTTATCTATTTGAGATCATCTTATATATTCAATGTGATCGTTCATAAATAATATCACAATAACTTTGGTTATATAACTAAACTAAAACTTAAGATTATTATAGTATAAACTGACAGATTAATAGATTTCAAGATTGATGACAGGCGGGTGGCGACCGTTGACTGAATTCTCTACAAATCGAGAATACAATTACAAACGTCTGTTACATAGTATTTACAGTTGTTTATATGTATTTACAGTTATTATATACAAGAAATTATACAATAAATATGTAGAGATGCAGACAAAATATTAAAAAGACTATATTTCTTACAAAATGTAAAAAAAGGGTTGAGCTTCGACATTCAATTCCTCAGCATTAAGCTATTGTACAATTCAAATATGATAAGGAGTACCAATCATTCTTCGGTAATACCTAATACTATTAATAATTTACTTTTCCTTATAGTAACTAATTTAGGTATGAAATCAATAATTATAGGTTTTTCCAAATTCCAGATAAACCGAGACGAATTTACGAAATCGAAAGTATACCTTATATAACTATGAGTTCAAATTCGGTTTTTCGGTCGGGCTGGACACAAAATAATGCAAACAACAATTTTGATTGATAAACAAACTGACAACACGACCGCAGTGCTGCTATTAATTCCAAATAAATGCATTCGCCCAAAGAAACAGACATATAAATGTGTCTGCTCTATGCCCTATACGGCCGACGGGATTTCCCCTTAATATCTAGTAACTGCATGGCTCGAAGACACAAGTCATTTTCAATTCATAAAGTGCCAATAAATTCGATACTCTCATTAATAATATTTTGTGCCTTCTCATCTTCCTCTGTGTCTTCGTAATCTAGCAGCGTACACTCTGTGTGGATACTGGAACTGTCTTCGGAGTCGTTGACATTTAAGTATGTCACTGTAGCGTAGTACATAGGTCTGGTCTGGGCGGGGCTGCTTCGGGTTGAGTCGTACGCTGAATCACTATTTGAGACTGACCTGGCATAGCTACGAAGACTAGTTTGGTTACTACTGACACTATCATAACTGTGGTATTCTGACGTGGTCTCGTCCTCGGAGAGGTGGAGAGGTAAATTCTTACGACAGCCGCAGAAATTCACGTCTATATCTGATCTTGCATCTACTGTACCGCTCGAACACCTGGTTGTTTCGGGGGAGATGCGGTTGTTCGTCTTCTTTTTGCCTTTGAAAATTTTGAAGGCCTGTAACAAGAGATGATGTCTTCGTGAGGACTTTGATAGTACTTTTATAAAATATTAATGCTTATTATGTAATATTGGGCCGGTATATATATGAATTAAGATTGTTGATAAATTATATCGGAGCGTTACATAACGCGTTACGGCGCTCTGTTTCGTCTGGCTTCCAATTTGAATATGAAACAGTTTGTTCAACTTAAATCAAGTAGCTAATGTAACCTTTTTCTGTATAGTATAGATATCTACAGAATGTTGAAATTTGGCTGTAGCCAAAACTTCTAAAGAAAATTGAAAATGCAGTTTTCTTTGGGAAAACAGAGCTAAACGTGACTTTAATTTCCATCATTAAAAGTCGGAGCGCAAACTGGCGCCGTTCTGACTAACAAGATCGACCCAATTCCGTAAATAAATTCTACAATGCACTATTGCAATATTTTGACGGTTTCCTTTTCTATATAAAACTATATGTTAGGAACAATTGATCACTACTCGTTTCAGCTTAGCTAGACAAGTTTACCAGATTTCGAGTTTAAAATTATTGTGTAGCGAAGATTTAATTTATGACTGCTTAGCTTACTAATTTGGGCCAAGGGACAGTTTTGATGTCGTTAATGTAAGTGACACGAAATACGACAACCCATCTAGTAAAAGGTACTTGCAAAGAATTAAAGTTAATATTTCGTATTACTCATAATGGTTCGCTGTAAAGTTACTGCCGCCAGTTACACAGTACGATTATAATAAATATAATAAAAATCTGCAATTACCCAGTATCTTGATATTAAATATTTATTCGTTAACTAAATTATTATTAACTAGCTGTGCCCGCGACTTCATCCACGTGGAATAGTGACTTGGGGATTCTTTTTTATTTTGGCTGTTTATTAATTTACGTAAGGGCGCATTTAAGGCAGCCAATCTATGTTGTTAGTGCTACTTTGCCGCAACACTCTCGCCTCACATCACTCCTATTCTAACTCCCACTCTCATTTCAACACTCACTCCCACTCCCATTCTTATTCGCAAAAAGCCAAAGAAGAGAGTTTCGTTGTTCTGTTCTAGCTTCAAAATCCATGAATTTCCATACAAACTTTCATCTCCTTTTTCAACCCCTATCAACCCTTTTTTGGCATTAAAAATTAGCTTATGTTCTTTCTCAGGCTCTAAAAAATCTGTGTACCAAATTTTACTTAAATCAGTTTAGTGGTTTCTGAGTTAAAGCCCGACAGACAGAGTTACTTTCGCATTTGTAATATTAGTATCGAGCTTCTATCGTCTAAGCCATTCATAATAATAGATACTTCTTCCAGTAATTTGCAAATAGCACAATAATTACTAATTAGTAAATTTCGTAAACAGATATTGAGGCTATCTCGATTGTTCGCATTAAGTCGTCTTACGCGCCTCATAGATAATATAAAATTATGGTTAGGACACTTTACTAGCAGATATAGGCTTTATCGACGACGATAAATGTTGTCTACATATGTACGAACACATACAATATGTCTGACAAAGATAATTTTCGAGTCTAAACATAATTTTCAATCGTCAGAATAGCAACAGTCTAGTTAAAAACATAATGGCTTTATATTAATTAAAAATCTATTTAAAAAATCGAAAATAAATTGAAATAATTTCGACTCGGGCAGGACTTGAACCGACATCGTCAGCCTTCCTTTTAAATTATAAAGTGCCTTCATGTGCAATAACATGTGAAAAATATTAAAAGTTTTCATATAAAAATCTATTTATAAACAAATCACGACACAGCTGGGACTCGAATCGGAATCCGCAGCGTTCCGTGCTTCTCTAACCGATAAGGCTGTGTGCTTAACACACGTCATCATCGATTCTTTTCAACCTATTGATATAGGGACCTATCACACGCCTAACATAGTGTTAGCAAGAAATTCTATGTATGCCGGTTCAAATAGATAAACTAAATAGATTTGTAATTAAAATTTTCATATTTTTAAATAAAATAATATATTTAAAAAAATATATATATATAAGCCATTTTTTTGTATTCATTTACTTGTACAATTAGGACAGTAAAAGTCCATTTCTGGCTTAAAATTCCAACAGCAACAAAGATTACAATAAACCACTTATATATTAATTAAACTTATTTGAATATTATTTTTAACTTCGGTCCGACGTTTCGGATGCTTTGCAGCAGCCGCGCGGAGTCAAAGACTTTGAGAATTTGTATAATAAATAAAATACGGGTTAAAAACTGACGTTAATAATGTTAAAAATATTTCCTTATTTAAATATTATCTTATTAACGACGTCTGTCGAAAGTAACAATGTCCCTAAAAAGTATGACGTCAAAGTAGAGTTACGTAGGAGTTACTGACGTAGTATGGTCGTCAGACCCTGACCTTTTAAGAATTTCAAACATTTTTGTGAAACAATTTAGGCAGTTCTCGTGGTGTTTCAAATGACGAAGCAAATATATGACAAGCATTTTTTATATTTCATAAAGATAAAGGCATAGAAAAATGTATATTTCCATTTATTATATATTGTTATGAGCTTGTTATTTTCGTAGGTCGGGTGGTTCGATCCCCAGGCGTGAACGAAAGCATGGTTCCCTGTGCGCATTATAATGTGTACTATAAGTTAAAGAAAACATCGTAAGAAAACTGGCCATCATATAATCAATAAGTAGGTAGAATGAGGACCATTCAAGAAAAGCCCAGCTGTGGGATCTTAAACGGGCTGATGGCACAGATAATATAATATAATATGTAATAATAAAGATAATAATGTGTTAACCAGTGAATTTTAGGAAAAATATGAAGAGACAAAGATGGATATTTGATTATTTTTTCCTAAATTTATTCATATTTATATATAACTTGTTTAAAAGATTACATCTTTAAAACCTCTTAAGTATTATAGAAAAGTTCAACTAATCTCCTCCTTTGTAGCTAGAATAGCGTTATGAGCGAGAGGTCGTGGGTTCGAACTCCGGGGAAGCAATAGATTTTTTCTTTCTTTAATAATTAATCCAATCAACTCAGAAAGGTTAAACTTATACATCTAATCTAGGAAATGAGGTTTTATCTTTAGCTCATCTCTTCAAATGTACTTAAAGCGGAACAGTTACAAACAAGAGGTCCCAGTCCCCGCAGCGGCCTTCGATATGAGTTATCAAAGAAACAATATTAATCATTACAATAATGAGAAGACGCATAAACGCACAGATTTAGTGCGTTAATTAATTGACAACGCGTAAACATGTATATCAATTAGTTATGTGACATGTCAATGGTATAGATTAATTGTAAACTCCCGTTTCCCCTGTCTTACATCTGTGCAATGCTTGACCGCAATATTTTGTTTCCCCTGAATTTGAACTTTGTACACAACGTAATACTTAATAAGTGAATATGTATGAAAAAACAATGCATGTTTTGTACGAAACATGTAACAATCAATAAAAAAGACATCTACTAACATATATCAGGCAAACAAACACACATATGAAGCTGCTAGAGCCAAAATAGCCTAACTGCAATTTTATGACTTTATGATTTTTATTGTCAAAAAATGTTAATCTACAAGATTATAGTGACTGAAAATTGTTAAAATAATTCTTACACAAATAGTTGTACAAAGTCAGTTTCGCGTAAGTTAATTGAGCATTTCTATTTTCCTCTTTGTAAATCATGTTTTGTGTTATTAGGCCACTCTGCCTTTAGCAGCCTCATGTATACTCTTATGTTTATTTCTAATATTGTGAAATTATATATTTTCTTTTTATCAGACGTCTATCAGAACCACTTTGTCATAACTAAAATTAATAATAAACGAGGTTTAACCAACTTCGAAAACGGACCATAATGTTCTTAAATATATTTCCTAATTATAAATCGTTAATCTTATTCGGTTCTTCGGTCTATAAGAACATTACCTAGAAACACAAAACCACTATATGTGTCTCGGAGTGTGTAACGGAGAATTGCATTGCTATATGATAATATAAGGACAAATGTCGTTTCACTGTTCCGAAACATTGAGCACTATTGTATTGATTTGCATTGAAGCTACGTGTGATTCAATCAGACGATTAAAATAATTAGTTATTTATAAAGATGAGTTGATAATAATCTAAATGTATAAACCTAAAAAAACCTTAGTAACTTAGATCTATTTTATGACGTATTTTTATGGGTTAATTGGATCGAACCAGCCTTATATCATTTAATTAAGATGTGCTGTCAACCCATTTCGGCTTTGAACATTCGGAAATAAATATACTGAAACGGAAAAATTCTGGCTTTTCCAATCGTAGACTGAACGGAATATCGATATTTTTACCGCCAAGGTAATGTCCAGAATTTACGAACGATGAAAACAGGAAATTATATACTAACACATTGCTACTTTTAAATAAAACACTTTTAACGGTTTCGGACGATTTTAAAATTAGGGACACCCTCCAAATGCAGTCCCCCCGTGACCACAAACGTTGGGCCGCAGTTAAAATGAATTGTAAATACGTTAACTAATGTATCGCATTAAATCCGTTAAAATATTTTATTTAAATGTGTATTAATTGCTTAAATTACAGACAGTATTTAGGTGTAGACAATTTAATTCCACTTGCTTAATCAAGAAACTGACGTCCTTCTAGTGTGTATTAATACTAGGTCTAAAAACAGTCACTTAGATTATATTTCGATTTTGCTGTCGCCAAAGTGATACCTATCTTAAGCCTCGTGTAAATAAGAATGGGAAGAATTAGCATTTCAATAAAGATCGATGATACAGTAATGTATGCGAGTTTCGTTGTGACTAGATTCATGTAAATTCTAAGTGATTCAATGTGGTACTTTATTTGTGCAAATAGCATGATGTAACATGATCAGAAAATTTGCTCTGCTCATTGGAATATCAACGTCGGTACTTTAGTTTAAAGATGATGTACGCGGAAATAGTGTGTAATTTATGACAGAGGAGGAAAGACTAGTAGGGTCATTAAGTAGAAG